ATGCCTTGCAAGTGCATCCAAATCTATCATTTATGCTTTTTACACACATACACCCATCTGTCTTTATGCACATGCTTGGGAAACACCAGCTCCCAAATATTTATAATTTTATAAAGATGTCAAGAAAAATTAGGGATCTATTACGCCCATAGATGAAGCAAAGGAAACACAGGAGACACTGTAACAAATATACTACTGCGACAGACGAGAAATATATAAGGCTATTTAACAAAATGTCAGAGTGGTCCTTTGTTGGATACTTAAACAAACCTACCGCATAACTGAATATATGAGAATACAAGAATGTGCAGTGTTTGGGATAAATTAAGAACCTGATTTTTTTATACAGGTCATTTATTTTGCAGCTGCTATAGAAACAAAAGTCTCCAGCAAATTCTAGCAGCAGACTAGCAAGAGGGCAAGTGAGTAAGAGAAACGGGAGATGATCACCAACGAAAAGACAGTGAAGTGAACTTATAGCATAATTATGATTCTAAATAATATTTTAAAGTTCTGAATTTTAGAAAATGGTAAAAACACAAGAAATATACAGATGAAGCCTTAGCTTTAGATTTGTGAGGTTATTTATACAACAGCCTAACTGTTGGGCTGCTCAGCCAGCGTATGAGAAGGCATACTCAATTCTTTACTCTGCCTGAAGGGCTTAATACACACTTGCGAAAAAATTGTTCTTCCTACTAAGAAATAGGATCTTCTAAACAACTGCTCTTAGACTGTCTTACTGATACTGCTGGAATTTGAACATTTCCTTAATATTCAGATTCATGTAATAGACTCAAATCACTATGCAGATAGGAAAAAAATAGTACGAGAGACTTGAAGGAATCACATACTTGATTTGAACTCCACTTCATTTGAAATGTCCCAAATAAATACTACACTACAAAGTCTGACTTTGTTTTCTTTTGTTTTCTGCTGCAGTGGACACTTCCGTAGCTCAAAGCAAATGAAAGAGTATGAAGAGAGGAGCTTGAGAGGGGCCTTCCTTCTGTCTCACCCTGACCCATTACCTTCCACATGCTTGTGTGACTGTGGGGAATGGGTAAATATTAGTATTCTTTTTCATCACTATTATGTGCACCCTATGGGCTTATGATTCATAAGCGGTAAAATAAGACTTGTTTGTAAGCATGACAGACTAGGAAAGGCAAAATGATGGTCTAGATAAAAAGCATCTCAAGCACTCAAATCTAATCGTCAAGAGTCTGGGCTGCACAGAGACTACTGCTATGCTGCAAGCTTATTTGCACAAGAATATTGTCAGGGCTCATGTGAAAATGACAGAGGCGCCAACAACTTCACAGATTCATTCTGCAGAAGGCAAGAGCAGGAAGAACCTGAACGTGACCCAGACAGACAGGAGGCAAATGGTCCATAAGAATCCCAAGCCCTTCAGCCATGACAACCGCACACATTATTTCGGGTAAGGGAAAATTGCTCAGATTATGTTCATTGGATTGGCTGCTAATTCATAAATTTCAGTATGCACAGAAATCTAATGAATGCATCACTCAGCAACGTAGTTTACAGTTTGTTATTATAGCTACAGAGCAGCAGAACAAGCAAAAGGCACATCCCACACATTTTCAATTAGGTACGAACACTTAATCTGCTTATATGTAAATGCAATCTTATACAATACGAATTCCAAAGACATACAGACACTGGCAAATGGAGTGACCGATTTGTGGTTACGGCAGATGCACCACTCCTAGCCGCCGTAGCAGAGCAATATTAAAACACCTGCTGCATGAAGGATGATGTAATCTAAAATTCACAAGGAGGCTGGCTTCCCCTGTCAGCAGCTGCAGACAGCTTTTGTTATTAATTTTAAATGGGCTATCATGCTTAGTGTGCACAGCTTTTTAATTTCACACATGCCATGCCCTGCAAAATTGCACGTGGGCGTAGGTCCTTGAAGCATTGCTACATCTGAATTGTTTCAAAACAAAATGTTATTTTGTTAGTGGAATCAAGCTGTTCTGAGTATCAAAAGGGCATAAGAAAATGGGTGATATTTAGCAGATTGCAGTACTGCAGGAGAGCACCTACCACGAAAGCCCAGCTTACATTTTCAAATATGCATGCAGTTCACACAGGGCCTATTTTCTTTGATTTTTTTTTCTGTAACACTTTTTTTGTTGTTGTTGAAGAGACAGACTTGATTAACTAATCTGACTGGGAACAACAATATATTTGAACATGCAGTGTGCAGCTTAGACAGAAAAAAGTTTATCTGAACAATCAAATTTTTGGACATAGATAACTCTAGATGATGTCCAAGACTATTCCTGTTTTTCAGGAGAAATACATTAATTCCACAAATAAATATATCTGATGTATACTAATTATATTATCTGAACAATCAAATTTTTGGACATATATAACTCTAGATGATGTTCAAGACTCTTCCTGTTTTTCAGTAGAAATACATTAATTCCACAAATAAAAATGTATCTGATGTATACTAATTATACCTTTAATATATTAGAGGTATATTAATCACATTATTAATGCAAATTAAGTACTAGCATTTACCATTATATCTTCAATTCTTACAATCTTTTTAAAAATATTGCAGGAAGCAATGCAAATTGCTATTTTAACTGCCATCATCCTGAGTACTATTTTCCTCATAATCACCTTTTACAGGTGCTGCAAACACATAGGAAGTAATTTTATTTTCTTCCCTGTGTGAATGCACCCCAGCGTGCTGCTACAGATATTCAGCTTGATTTCTAGCCTGAAAATCAGGGAGAACCACATGTATAAATATCATTGCCTTTCTGATGTGTCGGCTTCTCAATGAACCTGCTTACAAGCAGTTGTTTCGGAAGACAACAGGAAACACACTTAACTTTGAAGATGACATATCATGAGAACTGCAACTTTCTTAGGTTAGAAAACACCACCTGTCATTGATGACCTGGCTGAAGAATATGTTTGCTTTACCAAGACAGTTAAACCAGGCTTTGCCTGCCCTCAACACGGAGCCATGACAAAAAAAGCACCAGCAGATTCCCACGTAGTGTATCTTTTGATGCTATGCCTTTCAAGTACGAAGAAATTCAAAAACTTGGCAACGGTATACGAATGGAAACGAACTCCCTAAGAAGAAATCTCTAAGAAATCTGTTGATGAAGGCAATGCTTAGGGCAGCCAGAACAAGACAAGAGCCCCATGCAACTTTCCTCTGCCTTGCACGAAGTAACACACTGCACCTGTAGGTCTTGGCAGTTTGAGGCACCAACGCGGGCTGCAACACTCGGACATTGCTGCAACGCACCAACGTGGCAGCCCCATCTCCTCTCTACTGCAGGACCAGACTCCCGAGGGAGGCTGAGCTGCTCTTGCAAAGACTGAGCCCAGCATCCCCCCCATTGCCCACAATCTGTACCAAGAGGAGCATTTCTGCTTCTGCAGGCACCACGCTCACAGCAGTAACATAGTAATTTCCTATACTTTGTGAGGAAGTTATAATATGCACAGGAGGATTCATGGCTTTTGGTCAATTTCTAAAACAGATCTTCATTAAAAATTGCTAATATTTGCCTGTGGTCTTAGTAGACAGGAATATATACATTCCTAGCACACAGGAGCATAAGGAGGCATCTTGTAAAAAGAAAGATCAGGTGCATCCTACTTCCAACCTTAGCAATCTTCGGTCAACTTTTTTCTCTCACAACAGAAAAGCCTAAGAGCTCTTCTCTCAAAAGTCAGAAAAAATGCTTCAGAAAGAACTGAAAACCTATGTCACTTAACAAAAGGGAATGTCACTATCACTGCAGAAGTCATAGAGATGTTTTTGTTTTTTTCCTAATGTAAGGCTGCAAAGAAAGAGGATTCTTCATAAGGATTTCTACATCAATGGTTTTCACTTCAGGCACTAAAACTGCCTTTTTTGTTTTGTTTTTAACTGCATTTGAAGAATCTCCTATTTTTTGTTGCCACAGATCAGCAAAAGCAGCCGTGGGGATTCTCAGCTTTGAGTTGCACATCATAAAATGTGTGATGTATCTGGCTCAATGCAAGCTACCAATGGAAGTGGTTTGCATTCTACTTGCAGTGGGCTCCCCACAAATAAGAAATCCTGTATTTCATGCTGAACTACATCTTGAAAATATCCACCAATCATTTCACTGTGATCAGTCATAGGATATAATTCATTTTATAAAAAACTACCACAACAATGTAGGTACAGAAGAAAACTGCTTCTGATAAAACTCAGTTTTTTCCCTTTGTTTAGAGTTCACAGAAGCCTTCAATCTGGCTGCCTACAAAATGCCCCCATCTTGAGGTATACATTGGTAGAGCGGATTTAGAGAACTGAATTCTGTATTGTGTGCACTGTTTAGAGATTACCTATGCCTATGTGAGTATAAACACGTAAGTACATTAGAATCAGTGGTAGCAGATCCGAGAAGCAGAAGAGGAAGCAAGACAAGCAATAGAGAGTCCTCCAAGATGAGGAAAGACCAAACTTGGGAGGAACCAGGGAGCACCAGAGGGATCAGAACTGGTTTTAAAAAGGCTTACAATGGCACACATACAGTTCCTTGTTTCTTCCCTACTGTGTTCATGAAAGAACATCCCAAAATTCCTGCACCCACCCTCATGAACTGCTTCTTTTACACCTCCCCAGGATAATCAAACGTTCTATTATAACAAAGAGCTTATTTTCCATTAGGTATCATTCTACTTGATATCTCAGTGTTCTCACAACACCTTTTCTGACATATTACTGCAAAAATATTTTACTAGGAAAAGCAAATGACAGGGAATTTTCTTTGGAGGACCTTGAGTTCTGTGGCTTGTTTTCACCAATTCTGAACAGAATAAGGGAGACTGGAGAGACAAAGTTTTGTAATTCATAACAAAGGTTTGATGGATTTAAAGTTTCGTTTTCCACCAGTGTAAACATAGCCTCTTAAGCAAAGGTTAAAATAATTTGGCAAAAAAATGATCATCTCTCAATGAATTTAAGAAATACCTTCATAAGTTGATCGGACAATCTCACATGGTTTAACGGAAACCAAACTGAACCAAAGGCCTATCAGTAACAAAGAAAAACGGTGAAATCACACTTATTTTCCATTTTGTACCTAAGAAATGCCTTTAATTCATATAATCAGTGAAAGCTTACTAAAAAAAAATCCATTTTCTCTTTTTAGCTACTTCCAATGATATTTAATATTAGTATTGCACTGATAATTCTTAAATATGCAGCTAAATAGGCAGAAATGCTTAGCTTGAACAATAGAAGTGTAATTTAATTCATGACCATTTCTTCACTTTCCCAATTCAGTAGATATTTCAGGATTATCGCCAGTATTTTCCCCGTATCACTCTTGATATTTCTTTTATGATTAATTCCTCTTAATATCTTGACATCTACCAATTCTCACTTCTGATGCATTATCTGTATTAATCACCTTAAACTCTTATAATCCTTCTTCTGTGAAATTCTATTGATTTACTATCAGATTTTGAATGTCATCTCCTTCTACTTTGCAGTACACAAAAAAATAAAATACAAACTACTTGTAGGAGGTGAATGTGAGTAAATGTTCTTGAACTTGCTAAAGCAATGAATGTTAAACAGTGATTATCTTATTTCCTTGTAAGTACCTTCTTAAGGACTTTGTCCTATTTATAGCTCTCTTGATGCCAGTATTTAGAAAAACATTACTCTTGAACACTACTGCTGTTCTAAACAGAAGTGAATTTGTACTGCCCTCACATAATTCACTTTACATTATTTTTTAATTTAGTTTGAGATTCTTTTTCCTGAGCTTTGAAAATTCTCTGTTTAATATTTCCAGATCTCCTCTCAACTCCTATGTTCCTCAGTTCATCAAAGATTTATTTCCTTTCTGTTTTTCCTTTTGTAACCCTACCACTTTGCAACATGCTTATCTATACGTAAAACCTTATGAAAAAAAAGTTTAGCTTACTGGTCACCTCACCGCCTTTTTTACTATTTTCAGTCATCATCTGAAAATAACATCTTGAAGTGCCCACGACTTCTACATTTTTCTCTTTCTTCTAGCCCTTTTGCAGTTTAAATTCATATTGTACTACCCACTGCTAGCTTGCATGAAAATAATGGACTATAAAAATATGGATTTGTATAAGAGCTACATAATCATAGAAAACATTCACTATCTTTTGCTAAATTTAAATATAGCTCTTAAAGTAGTGCATGTACACAACAAAGCGTATAGTATGCTAGCAGCCTAAGCTGTGAAAAAAGGTTTCAAAACTCATACGAAATATTTAACAAACCAGAATGAGGTAATGAATTTGCTAAATCAAAGAAACAACGTAAAATCATTGATAGGGCTTTGAACAGAGAACAAAAAAACTATTCTTTACTATTACCAACATTAACTACTGATTGCATTAATCAGGGACAGTCACTGAGCTATGTTGTCTATACAGACTGTAAATTATTGAGACTACTCGTATCAGAGATCTTTCTGTGGTTTGCTACATATTGTCAAATATAGATATTAATATAGATAATATAGATATTCTTAGACTGTAAAAGCATAGACTTTCTAATAGTAACTTAGACTAAATAAGATTTTATTAATAACTAATTATTTTAAAATGAGACGAATTCTGCCAGAGTGAAATTACAATTATAAAGAAGACAAAGAGAACCTCTCCAGTTGCAAGCATTTACCACTAAGAGCTAAAAAATTATCGATTACAATAACACTTTTTTCAGGTTATAAGAAACTTTTGATTATGACTTTCCTTGTGCTTTGACATATTTTTTCCATGCTTTGACCATAAAACTTAATGCTTGATAATTAAAAAACATTCCAGATTATGGAGTTAAAGTCATAAAAAGTAGAATTCTAAAGGCAAAGCTCTACAAACCAACGTAAAGAAGAAAAAGGAGAAAGCAGTTTAAAAAAATAAAAACATAAAAACAAGTCAATTTGGAGTCCATGCTCGTAATCACTAAAGGGTTCCTCTGGAACATTTAAAAAATATCAAGAAATTCCCAGGAACTGTTTATAATAAGCACGAGAGAGATGACAACCTGAAAGTAACCAGTTAGTTGATATATATTGTGAAACTATATATATCGTGCGACCATATATATTGTGCACCATTAAAATCACAGCAACTGATGCTTACAAATCAGCTAGATAAAAGCAATCAATATAATTTTCTTAATAGGCAATTGAAGCACCTTTTTTAAGTAAAAAATGAATCAAGAATGCCATCAGTTGAAAATAAGGTTATACCATCCTTGCACTACAGTACAAAATATGCAATAACATAAAAAAAAATCAGCTTGATTAGTTAGGTAAAATGAAAGCTTAGATAGGATAGGACTTTTACCTTTAAACACCTTCAGAGTTATATTCTACTTTAACTGATGGACTGATCATTGATGAAAAACATTCAGCCTGGAAAACAAATTTCTAGCCTTTGGATAAGGAAAGTTCTCAAAACAACAGGAATTTTGAAAGTACAAAAATGACTAATAAGATGAAGCACAAGAAGTTCATCTTTTCAGTCCAAAGTTTCTATGCCATAAATCAACATCTTACAATTAAAAAAAAAAAAAGCATCTTTTTTTGATGAAGCATTTTTGAGGTAATCCTACAATTTCTATTATCTCCATGCAAGCACACACGTAACTCCAATACATTCCACTTCCTGGAATGTTCTCTTGTATACCATGACTCTGCAGAGTGAATGCAAAGCGTTATTGTAAATGTCCAAAGCAGCCTCTACCGCTAACACTTAAAAGAAAGTTTATTCCATATACTTAGAGGGATATAAATTCCAGAAAGTGTCAGCTTTGACATCAGCACAGTGCACAGTTAATATTATTGAAAATATTTAAAATAAAATATTTAACAAATGTTGGCACTTGTCATCCATACACTGAAAAAAAAAAAAAAACCCTAGACCTTTCGGTGTCAGTGTTGCAGGAAAAAGAAAAATAAAACAACAGCTAAGTTTAAATTCCATAACACTTTTTTCAACAATCACCAAAAGAGAACTTTCATATATGCATGCAATAAATTTGACTTTACATTGTTCACAGGCATGGAACTTGTCACACAAAATACACATTTCATTCAAAAATACATTATGATATAAGTTTATACAAACTGATAATGAAATTATCCATAATTATAAACATACCTATACGTGCTGCATCAACAGCAAGTGGTGTCTCTGGTGCCAATTTCTGAAGGGCCTGTTCGCCATCTGTCTTCTCCAGTGAGCTGTTATGTTGAGACTTCTGTTGGTCTTCATCTTCAGCAACAAATGAAATTATGCCTAAAACAAATAGACACCAGATGTTATATTAGCCGGGGCATTAGCTTTATAAAACAGACTGCCAGACTTGCACAAATATTTCCTGAGTTCCAAACCAATGAAAAAATGAAGTAAAACCTGAACTCCAGGTGTCAGCCATCCAATTATAATTTATGGTAACAAAAAATATGTCTTGATTGAACCCAAAGAAATTAACTATTTTTTCCCCCAAATAAGAGCAATTATATCTATCTGAACTAAAGACCAGGGATATGAAATATAGGCAAACCGACTTTTCAAAGATTACCAAATATGGACAAGCATTCTTTCTTTCCAGTGTAATTTTCTATGTCTAGGTTTGATTGCTTACATTATTCTTTTTAAATCACACCAAATTTTAATCTATTGCTGGAACATAATAAAAGTACTATTTAAAATATTTCCACCATACCTATTTTCTCCTTTTTGTATTCTGCAGAAGTTTTAGGATAGATAAGTATTCAGCAGTATTTAGACAGTAAAAGAATTTAGTGTGGATAAAATACACTGGAGTGAAAAAATGCAGATTCCTATCTGATTAGAAAGTATAATAAGTAAATAAGTAATTAGAAAGTATAATAAGTAAATAAGTAATTAGAAAGTATAATAATAATATAGTATGCACATAGTTTCTGTCTTTCCAGAAGATTTGAAATGGCAGCTTGAAAAAAAAGTGTGTGGGGGAGGGGAGGGCGGAACGCAATTCTTCCATTATGTGTTTCTAACTAAGAGCTTTTAATCAACACAACTTCTTGGAATTCATATACATCATTACTATTTTCTCTAAGTCACAGTCACTCAACATTTTCATACATTCTGGAGAAATAAATATAAATTGCAGGCTTAATTCTTGTCTCAGAAGTATGAAGAAAAACTCATTGAGGAGGTAATTTATTTTATGATACTCTATTTTTTGTATAAATGCCTAAATGCAGAAAGAATTTTTGCATTTAAGAACCTCATAATTTATGTGAGAAGTTCTCCCAAAAGGAACTGAGGAAACTGCATCTTATTAAGGGTTTGGGAAAATTATTCATAGTGGAACTTTCTTAATCGCAAATGGAGAATTAACATAATTATATCCAAGTGCCATAATAACTTGAGATTTTTTTTCCTCCTCAAAAGCCTACCCACATTTAACAGCATTTTTCTTTCTCATGCTTTCAGTGAGATAGAGAGGTGGCAACAGGCCATGTTGTGCCATGATGTGCTGTGTTCCCTGACAGGTTGAATTTACCACCTTACTAGAAGGAGTAGCTAAGTGCAATTCAGGGAACTGCTGCGTCTTCTTGCTCTTCCTGAGCTTATTACCTACAACACGCTCCTCCTCACTGTACTCCTCATGCGGGTGATGGGCTGCAAAATATGTGGACAAAAGACACCCTCCAGCAGCAGAAATAGCAACCGGGCCCCCTTCCAGGTGCACACGAAGAAAAGGCACTAACATATAGCCTGAACCAAAGAAGATGGTGGGAACAGTCTTGAGAGAAAAGGCCAAGCCCCAGGCAAGTCAAGGAAGGCACAGAGGGACCTTGACAAAAGGAGTCACAGGGAGGAGAACTGGGACCACGCAGCTCCCCGGTTCAAGAAGCTCTTGAGGCTTCACCAGACGAGGCCTAATCAGGCTTCCTATACACACACCTGTACACAGGCCTTGAGCCTTAGCTTGCTCCCCCTACGGACATATTTCTGCAGGAGTCTGTATTCATACCTGAAACTTCCCATATTTTTTTCCAAATGCTTCCAAGAAGTCACAATAATGTCTTAAAAAAAGCAGTATTTTTTTCATGATATGCCCTGTAATAGCTACATTAGGTGGCAATTTTGACATGGCCAATACTGACAAATTATTTCTGCTACGATAGATTACATCAAAACTTTACAGGAAAGCAAGGTTTTATCATCTTCATTCTGCCACAGTCTCTTTTTTCCCCTGCGAAACAACAACTGATTAGCAGAACTGTAATGAACCAAAGCAGAAAACAGTTAAAAAGGAGGTAGATATGTATTTAAATCCCGAGGAAGGAAGTGCATTTTTTTTTAATTAAAAAATATTAGACTTCAAAAACCTCTTCCTCTGCTAATAAAATATATAGCTTCCTAATAATAAAAATCCACTTCAAATAGAAAATTTTTACAAGTTCCTAAAATTAAGCACAATATAGAAGCCAGAGGTGGCATCTGAATAAGCAGGAGCTATTGCAATTTCAAGACAATATTGAATATCTAAAGGAATATCTTCATAGAGAAAGTGGATGCATATATATACATAATAAAAAATAGAGTTGTTATGGAAGGCTCAGGTGAATATAGAGAATATTGATGTAGAAGAAGCTATTTTGATGGCACTAGTAGTTAATGGATCTTAGGACAAATAAGAATTAGTCTGTTTTTATTTCTCATTATATAATTGTATATTTCTTGTCTATTGCAACAAAGTGTTACAGAGCAGAAAAAGTGCAAGGAAAAGATTATTAATTTTAAATGACATCTTAATCATAAATATACTTGAGAAATGTCAACAGTTATAATCAATGAGCAAAAAGAAAAAATAATAAAGTTGATTTAAAATACACAAATAATTGCTGGAAAATGCTAAATTCTTAAATTCTATAGGGACTGAGTAAGAGAGCACATACACAGTTTAAAAGCTTTTTTTTTATCAGTGAATATTTTTAAGCTCTGTATTAAATGTCCTTTCAAAAGCATTGAAAAAGCTGTCCTAAGAACTCCTAATAAATATTATTTTTTGCAGCATTAAGTTGGACTGCTCAAAGAGTTCCATAACACTGTAAATTGCTAATGTTAAAGAATATTTCAAGATCCATTGGAGAACTGGTAACTTCAAACCATTAAACTTGATAAACCACTATGATTATCACTCAGCAGTCAAATAATCAAAAAGTCATTGAAGAATTTTATTATAATTGCCGATACTGTATTTGCTTTCCTTATGGAAAACAGATTTCAGACAAACAGAATTAATAACACTGAAGTTAAAAACTTGATTCATAAAGGAACCTGAATTGATATAATGTATTTAGATTTCTGCAAGACACTCAATTAAATCTGTCAAAGTATTTCAATAAAAAAAATCAGTTTTCCTACAGATGGCATACATTTTTAAAATGAATTTATCTGCTCAGCCTTAAAATATTCATAAATTGCACTTCATCATCTTCATGGGTGCCAAAGTATATATTACTGGCATACAGCTGTTCAAAATTTTTATCAAAGAAGAAAAGAAAATCATTGCTGACAAGAACTGCAATTAAATATATATATATATAATTTCAAGTCAGATTTAACACATAGAATCCTTATTAGTGAAATAAAATAGTAAACGGTAAGCTGTGCATCACTTGAGTTTTTAAGCTTAGACTGAATGTTTTCCTGGAGAGTATACTGTTGCCCTAAGCAGAACATTACACAGGAGATTACGACAGCTGCTAATACCCAAACATATGAATATATTCAAATATATATAGGCTCCAAAAATCTGACATTCTGCAGGTTAAGAGAAAGTGTGTTATACAATGAAGAAGAATTAAAAAATAAACATCCTCTCAGGTAATAAAAGAAGACATTGGGATGCATAAATTCTGCAACAAAAATGACATACTCTATCAGAAATAATAGATTTAAAATGATCTGAAAAAGTAATCACTCTTACAGTCTTTCAAAGGCATCTTTTAAGCTTGGCTTCTCAGTTTTCTAAGAGCTTTGTGCCGGGGAACAAGCTTTTCTGCTGTAAATGCCTGTGCATGGGTTGTTATTCTGCAGAACCCACAGCTGCTTTCCTTTCCTTCAGGAAGGGAAATGGCATCTGGAATCACCATTCTGATGCTGCAAAGCAACTGATATGTGATAAATCATTCACAAAAGCCCTCACTGGGCTTTTTTTTCTTTATGGTATAATTGGTTCTTACTTTTGTGTCATACACATTATATGACAATATGACTGTGAAAATATCACATCTGGTAATCTTGAAACGCACTCATTCAAACCCAGAAAAACACTACACTTAATCCCAGAGGCACAGTATCCACTGAGTCACCATGTGAAAACTTTTTTTGAAATGGTTAGCCTGTAGTTTAAAGAAAGCAACTCTTTGTGAGCATAGATCTTGGTAGAGGGAGGTTATCTTTTTCCTGATGTAATGGACTACAACTGTGTAATTCATATAGTATTCTGAGAGAAGTTCTACAGAAAAGATGAATTAAAAACAATTATAATTTAGAAAAGCTATAGTTTTTGCCATTTTTTCTGCTGACAAAGAAAAGATGTTTAGTGTAGGTTAAAATGCAGCTTCTGTATGATCTATTTTGCATAGGAAAAACTTCAATGAAAATATATGAAAGTTCTAAACTGCTCCTGAAAACCCTACTTCTTGGTGGTCTACCAGGATTAGCTGAATTTGCTCCTTGTATGAAACGGGAACAGAGTAAGACTCATGTAGAGGAGGAAAGTTCTCTTCTGTCCTCGGGAAATCCTCCCAGGTGTCCTTTGCATACACCTGGGGTTGCAAAGGAAGTTGTTTTGTTTATAATCCTTGTTTATAATTTATAACTTGTGGGGTGCACACTTTATCTTAATGCTCTAGATGATGAAATCATGTTATGAAAGGGCCCAGGATGATGCAAGGATCTCACATGCAGTCCACCTCAGAACTAAAGACAGGTTTCTTGTGCAAGGACCAGGCAAGACAGCATCGTTCAGATGGTGCCCGGTACCATCCTGCAGACCCGGGGGGCTGCTGCCGTAGAAGAGATGGTCACAGTCTGTTGCGGACTACCCAGTCAGCTGGTGGTGTGTACAAACTGAGCAGCCAATTGCGGGGGGTCAGCCATAGCAGAGGAACGGCCAGGGACACTCACTGCAATCAATCAGCCCGAAGGTCTTTCGAGATTTGTCTCAATTGCAGTGTAATGGTCTCAATATTTTTCTAATTTTAAGGTTCAAAAGTTGTAGGCAGCATATAAAAGTACTGCCTACTAGTACAGATACACTTCAAAAGTAAATAAAAGGTGATGTATAAAACTGGAAAGCTCCTTTCTATGTGCTCGTTAATTTTCATGTGTAAAAGGTCACTGACTACAGTTAGGTCTTTTTTTTTAAATCAAGTACTATGAGTTTGGTGCTATTCTGGATGTAGAAAACAGAAATATGAATTTGATAAAAGACCAAACAGTAGACAGAGGCTTTATCATATCTAAAGGAAGCTGCTCATTACTCAGGAAATGCATTGCTGAAGACTTTTATTTGGTGCCAGAATTTTGCGTGAAAAATTTATTAGCTATTATTTCTATGCTAAAAATTCCATACAACAAGCCAAATGAAGCATATAATTACAGCCCTCTATTGAAATGCTTCCAAACGGACTTTTGAGAAGAACTGGACCTATTTTTGGCTAAATAATTTTAAAACTGAAAGAAGGAATGCAAAAAAAAAAAATGACCTTGAAAAATACAAACCAGGTAAATGCTCAGTATAACCTCCTCTTACCAGGTACAAATACATGCAATTGATTTTTAAATGATAAAAATATTATTAGAAAAAGGACAGGACTACAAATTCAAATATAAGTTAGGCAGTTCTAAATCTCAAGTCTTCCCTTAACACTATGATGTGAAGAAAGAATCAGGGTTCAGTACTTTCTATCTGTTTACTCTGCTTGTATGAGCAACAATTTAAATCTCAGTTAAAGAAAAGAATAAAATTCTGGCTTCCATCTTTAAATCTCTGGTTCTAGTAGTGCTTAGATATCTACAACTTTATATGGAAAATAAGGTATAGACCCAATAACTCAAGGAAAATTCAAACTGAGGAATTTCCATCTCATTAAATTTTATTAGACTACTTAAAAGCTGCGCACGTGCTTGCATATTTGAAGCACCTGACCACTTGCTTAGCAGTAATACACCTTTAAAAATAAAAATATGCACAATATTAAAAAACAGTATCACCAGCAATTACACTTGTTTCCAAAAGAAAGGTTATGTAGAACAGAAATATGTTACATGTAAAAAGGTTTAATCTGCTAAAAAGATGTAAAAATGCTAAAAAAATGTTCAAATCTGTAAAAAAAAAAAGGAGTTTTAATTTATGCAGATTTAATATATTTCTACATTATACCTTCAAAAATTCCTCGTTTCCATGGAGAAACAGTCAAAGGGTAATCAACTGCAGCATCTGGTTCTACAATAAGAAATGGTGGACCACCCACTATTGGAAGATCTGAAGATACCTGGTGAACAGATTTGTCAAAATCATCAAAAGAAACAATCAAAAGAGTTACTGTTGTAGTACAGACAAAGTATCTATTCTACCACCTTTGAAAAGTAGTACATTTTATAAAACACACTATTGGTAAATCCTACCCATTATGCAAATTGAAAGAATACATATTATAAGAGTATGTGCTAAAGGTAGCATACCTTTCAAATACCTTATCAAGTCCAGATCTTTTAGTCATTGTTCAGATTAAGCAAAATTATCTATATTCAGTAAAATAAGACAGTAGAACTAGGTAGCTTTTTTTACACACAATTTCTTTATAAGTATGGCATACTTTAGAAATATAATAAAGAACTTTAACAATACTGATCCTAAGTATACTTCTAAGTATTGACAGATCAAAGCAAAAGTTAACATGTTGCTTTAATATCAATTGCTATACTTTAATGCTATTTGAATGTTTCCAGATATGGTATATTTTGTAAATGACATATATATTATAACCTATATATTACCTACTCCAACAATTAAATGACCAAAACAATTTTCTTGTACTGAAAGATGGATTTGGTTTTCTATCAATGTCATTACAGAAATATGAACTGAGAGTCTACGACTGGCTGTTGACAGAAGGAAAAAGGTGTTTAAGGTCTTACCAACTATAGCTGATGGTTACAGACTACCTGCTCTCACCACCTCTTGTTACCTCTGCCACTGGAAGAAACTTCTGTTGAGCAATAATATTTTAAATTGATACCTCAATTTCTGCAGTGAATGTTCTGCAGGCTAGAATTTTCCATGGAGGTGCAAATTTAAAAAAAATATATTTTTAGGATAACACTAGAATATATGATAGGACTTCAAAAGAGGAAAATACGACCTCTTCCGGGACCTGATTGGGAGAATCCCATCGGATATGGCTCTAGAAGGAAGAGCCATCCAAGAGAGATGGTTCCAGCATCACCTTCTACAAGCCCAAAATTGGTGCATCCCAGTGAGGAAAACGTTAAGAAAAGGTGAAAGGAGTTCTCCTCCTCCATGTACACATGAAATAGGAGCTCCTGGCAAAATTCAGACAGAAGAAAGTGTATAGAAGATGGAAAAAAGGACAGGCCTCTTGGGAGAAATACAGGGACATCATCGAAGCATGCAGAGATGCGACTTGAAAGGCCAAGACCCATTTAGAATTTAATCTGGCAAGGGATGTCAAGCACAGCAAGAAGGGATTCTTTAAATGAATCAGTAACAAAAAGAAGACGAGGAAAAAAAGGAGTCCATTGCTGGATGGAGTAGGGGCTCTAACGACAAACATACAGTCCCTCCCAACATCAACCATTCTGTGCGATGCAGTACTGTAGCAGTAGCTACAGTAGCATATTATAATTTCTTATTTTAAACTTTTTTTAAGGCAAATTTTGAGTGATATCATGATTCAAGTGAGAAAGGAACATGCACATCCAAAGTTTTCCTGTAGAGGTTAGAATGCTACCATCGTACGCTTCAAAAGGCCTCACTCCTGGATGCTCAAAGAACCAGGACTACAAGGTGAACCGCAAGGCAAAGTACCTTCCTTCTCTCATCATTTCCAGCAGAGAGAGAAAATATCTTTCCTTAGCTCTTCTCTGTGTTGAAAAGGCAGTAAGCAGACTGTTTTAAATTCTGAGAGCAAAGCCAAAGATTTGCAATTCTTTCTATCTCCTTTTTCACATGAACATAAAATAGGGAATGGTAATACAAAAAAACTGCATATCCAAAATGACAAACTACCTAATAAATTCAGAAGAAAAACTTCTATCAGTAGTACTTTACTTAACATATTTTCTAGTTTCATGAATATTATTTATGTTGTAATTACTGCTAAAGCAGAGATTATGAAATATGGTTATTAAACACAAATATTGATTTCCTGAATGCATTGTTATGATCCAGAGTCTCAGCTGAGCAACTTTAAATCTGAATGCCTAATTTTTGTACTAATGGTATATTTCATGATGCCAAGTCAACTCATTAATATCTACACTCAACTGTACTATGTTCCAAACCTGTAAAGTCAGAGTTCTGTTCATAATTTTGACAAATTGACAAACTTGGAGTTTCAGTAATCCCCTCTTCACACACACACTTCCTATTTACTTATCCTTACCGAACATCCCATGTCAAAGTATTCCAGTTTCTATTGCATACTAAAGACTTCCCTGTCATCATTGCTGGCCATCATGCCGAAGTGGTGAATAGATGTATACAGTTTAATCAAGTATCTGTCTCCTGCTATACCAGTATCACCAATTTAGACAGCAATATGTTCAATAATTATTACTTAATAATTGCTTCTCACATACAACTAAAGAAGGTGACAGGTGCTACTTTTAAAAAACATCATGTTCCCTGTTGGTAGGCCAGAATTGAGGAAGTCACAGCCACTGATGAACCTGCTAAGCCAGATTTTTGTCAATAATGTCTCCAGATTGACAGATACTTTAGGAGAAACTCGCATTATTTTCCCTTATCTTTCTATCACTGTAGCTCACTACACTGATATTATGAATTGCAAGAACACATGTAGTTCTTGCTATGGTTCTTAATGTCAGTAAAACTAAAAACAAAGCAGTGTTGTATTGCACTCAGTATTTTCCTCAAAAAATTCTTGCATATTCCCCCCAAAATTCTTGTAATCTGCAGCTCCACATAACCAGGAAGACTACCTAATTCAGATCCGTAAGTCAGCTGCCAAGACAAGAAAAAAAACCTCAAGAAATAAAAATTCTGATCTATGAATGGATTTAAGGAGGAAAGAGAGAATAAGGCATTGGAGTAAAGGGCTTTTTTGTTGGCTTGTTTGTTTTAGATTTTATATTTAGTGTACATTATTTTCAGAAATGACTAGTAGTTTGTATATATAACTGAATACATGAAAAATAATTTAACTGAGTCTTGAGATTCCTCCTGAGAGTTTATTTGAATGACATCTCTTTTGAACAGCACAGAGAAAAACAGTTTTACAGTTTTATTACTGCAAAATCAAGCCTTGAAAGAATTAGGCACTTTTACAGCTAAAGTAGCTATCAAAGGTGTCATTAGAAGCAACCAATAGCACATCAGTCAATTATTTATATCCTGCAGATATATTTCTAAATAAAAATCAAACGAATGTGATATAAAAAAATCTGCCATCATACTGACAGATTAGATTGAATAAAACTACTTCATACTTCCTACTCTTATGGGATGATTTGAACCTAATTTTACAGCCACTAAAATCCACTTACATTTTAGTCACTAACTCTAAATTAAATTTAGCATCAGATAAGGAGGTAGTCCCTTCCTGACATGACATTTGTTGTGAATATTCTTCAGACCCAGGGGTACGTTAATCATGAGAAAGTCAATTTGTTGCCATGTTCCCTAGAACAGACCATGGCAGTGTTTCCCAAAGATTTATACATCAATCAGTAGAAATCTGTACGCAAAACCATTCACATCTTTAAAGGAAGTTTACAGAAACTGTCTTTTTAATCACAGAAAATTTATGTACCCAAAGTGTCCTTCACATCTTCAGAGGCAGACTGAGGGAGTTAAGCACGTGACCTCCACCAAATGCCACCAACATTTATTCCTTCGCTGACTTCCTTGGGACACATTAGTGGTTGCACAGACAATGAAACATACTCGGGCTCCAGATAGGGGCATCCTCTACATGTTGAATATGGAGACAGCATTACTCAGAGATAAGAAGGCTTTTTTAATGGAAGAAAAGAATTATTTCCCTCTTTCTCCTCGCAGACTTAAATCCCATTTTTAATAGCTATCTTTGCAGTAGTATCCATGTTTTAGTTGAAGAAACATAGCAGAATCTACATGGTGTAATTAAATTTTGAATGAAATTACTTTTTATTAAATTAATAGTTTAATATATTCAGTTATGAAAATACTGATGCTATATTTACCCCTTAAAGGCAAAATTGCCTAATTATTAATGCACCTAAATTACACAAATGCTAAGTATTCCTTGCAGTAAATCCTTTATGAATATGCCTGAAAATTATCACATTTGTTAGCTACTGGCACATTTTATGTAATTCTTATATTATTCATCTCACATAATTCAAGCTTTAATATCGCAGGGAATTAAATATCTGCGTTTTTTTAAAAAATCATGCATGTCCTAGTTTATGTCCTAGTATCTATGAGAAGTTACATTGTCTAGTGGATACATTCCATACGGAAGAATGTAAGTGGGAAATAAACCAAGCAATTCAATCATGAAGATAATAATTGTCCAACAGTATTCAAAAACATATTTAAAAAAAAATAAGATATTATTTTTGGGTTTGCTTTGTTCTGTTTCCATGAAGGATGACAAATTTTCCACTTCCCAATCATCAATTAAGCAAGAAGTCAATAGGGTAAAATTTCAAAGATGCCAGATTACTACATAGGAAAGTTATTTGGCTGTCAGGAACTGTTCCCAAGGGAAACCCTGACAAAGATAAAATCAGAAGGGAGCCTTCTGCTTCTCAACAGACTATCCAGAAATTACAGTAATCAGGCAGCATGGAAGGAACAACAACAACAAAATTAGTGTTGCTTATTTTTTCCAGTTGCTCTTTGTGCTATGCACTTCTGGGCAAAAAAAAAAAAAAATCTGCATTTCTAATAAGATGGCTGGTCACACTTCTTTCTAAAAAGCAGCTTTCCTGTATTGACTAGTAACAACAGATAATGATGATCACATCCTGGTTTTACTGATTAAATCATAATATACTGAATAGAAAAGACTAATCCTCTCGAAAATAAAAGCAAGCAGATTGTCTTCACTCACTGTAACAGAAAAAAACATTGTGTGGCATCTGCCACGGAGCACTGCAAGGAATTCATCTTATTAGTTCTGTGTCTGGCCTCTTCTCTTTATTACTGCTATTTTCACTTAGCCATCCTTCAGCCTTTCTTTTCATTAATATACCTTTTTCAAAAATAACAATATATAATAATTATGTTTCTAAACAACTACACTCAAGTATCTATGCTCACATTCTATTGACGAAATGGTTTGAAACAATTCTCTTCCAATCTTCAATGCATCAATTTAGATAGCCTAAAAGCCTAGGTAATAAATCCTAAAGTTGTTTACTTATCACTGGTTCTCTTGAAAAGCCCCTTCTGTTAGTGAGACAGTTTACAGACACCTATGAGTTTTTCATAATTTTCCACTAATTCCAACCCTCCCTGCTTCAACAACCTTTCTGCAACAGCTTCTTGGGAAAATCCTAATACGGAGAAAATAAACTATTTACACAATTTAATCTACTTCATGCATGCAAGCATAAACTTGTACTTGACCTTGCTACTCATCTCCCAAAAGCCTCCAAACCAAAAAGAGTACACACAAACCAAACATAATTAGATCTCAAAAGCTACAATTTGTATGAAACAGGAACCACTTTCCCTGATTTTTGGATTAGGAATGGTTGGATTGTCAAGTCATGGGGAAGAGGGTGAGGAGATGAAGAAGGACAGGGAGAATGTGTAGGAGAGAGAGAAAGAGAGCAAGAGATTTTGTGTGTGTGTTTCATAACCAGAGAATACAGTCAATGAGGTCTAAGTTTAATAACTAGCTCATTCTCAAACTGTTACAACTCCCATAAATCAGCGTAATATTTCTGAAAAAGACATAGTGAACAATCTTAATGCATTCATTTTGAAGCTTAATATTTGAGTGCCTTTCAATTTCAATGGCACAAAAACAGAGTTCACGCAAAGACGGGAAAGCAGAGGAAATTGTTCTGTTCCAACTCTCAGAAGCATTCAGTTCTTTCAGAAATAAAAGTACAAATGTATTAGAAATGTAAATGCATTCACATCTAAAAAGTTCAAACTGCTGAAAGGAAAAATGTTAAAGCCGGTGTTGCACAAAAAAAAAGCCATATCTTACTTTGCTTTGGAGGCTGTGTAAAGCCAGGCCATTCTATGTTATGTAAAATTTATTAAATGTAAATATTCCTCTAATAGTGAAAAACTGAAGCCTATACATCTGTATAAAATAAGGTGAAGTCTTCTCTCTACAGATGCCTGACATATTGATTAAAGCAAATCTGGTGCTACTGACAAAAAGACAGAAAAGACAAGACACACATTTCACATCTCCACACTTGTTTACTAGTCAGATTTTACCTAACAGAATCTATATTCTGCCCTTTTCCATCACACCCATGAGAAAAAAAAAAGAGAGAGAAAAATAAAATCTCAGTTCAAAAATGCATGTACGTTGACAATTTTTAGAGCATATTCTTCTGCCTTGGTGTTTATAGATTGAGTCCTCCTAAAAATGCAGTGTAGATAGAGTATCTAGCATCTTAAATGCCATACTGGATTTTAGCATTTGCCATAATGGATTTAAATGCCATAATGGCTTTTGCTGGCTGAGTTACAAGGTGTTCTTGCTACAGAGCCTTCCCTGCAGCTCAGAAGAAAAGTACTGTCTTTTTGTTCTACTTAATGTACATTTTCTCTCTCTGATGGTATATGACATGAGGTCCTGCACCTGCATAAAGCAGATGTGGAAATGATTGAGATAAGTTTCTGAGTTTCAAATTAAACACATTTATAAAATAAACGGTAGAAAAAATATGTGGGAGAATTAGGGTGATACAACAGTGCTTTTAAATAGAAAGAATGCATTTGGGCAAATATTGTTATAAAACGTATGTAATAAAAATGGGGAAAAAAAAGAAAAAAAAAACTGTTCTTATAAAGCATTTCCTGAATAGGGGAACTAACAAAGATGTTTTTCCTAAGAATTTGTATCTTATGTCCCTCTATTCAAACCACCCCCTATCTCATCACCTCTTGCTTCTCCCTAGTGACCCACTACACTTCGAAAACCTTTAAATTATTTCCTTGAAATTTTATTTCCCGTCAACAAACAACCAGAGTACTCCCAGTTTCCTCCAGTGTCCCTCAAACAACAGCTGGGCAAAAGACACCAGCTGTTAAAATCTGTTCCAAGAAATGTGAGTGCTGCTGTGAGTCCTGGCTAGCAAGCCATAAGGAACAGGTATGGAGTAGTTAGTGCTGCAGCCTTTCCTTAATGGGATAATAATTTTTGCTCCTTTCATGTAATAAGCCAAAGTTTTATGAAGTTATTAGGAACACTGTATTTCAGAGCCATTTTTCTATGAGTTCAAAATGGATGAAACTGGCCACCAGTTTCAAATCTTGCAGGCAACTGAGGAGGGAAAGACTTGGGCAAATAAACAGGCAGGGTAATTGTAGAAGTCTTGTTCCCTTAGAAACCAGACCAAAAAAATACCCCAAATCCACATTTTTTTCTCAAGGGAAAAAACAGTAAAACACACTATCTATCTCACAGATTTCCTTACTATATGCATTTCCAAATCCTTTAAGCTACTAGTTAGTTATAATTTCTCATGAATACATGGATTTAAAAAATATACCAGCAAGGAAAATAGTAGTGTAATATACAATTTGCAGACAGAAGAATACAGACAGGAGAATAGTAGTCACGTTTCTGCATAAATTTACCTTGTATGTCAACTTGTTCTTGGTATAATTAGGCACCTTTAATTCTTTCTGAGCGACCTGTCTCACTTGGCAATCTATCACAATATGATCCAGTGCCAGAGGATTCTTCCCTATTCCCTTAAGGCTAAAAATATTTTCAGTGCCATCTGTAAAATTTCGTAGAATAAGCCTTCCCTGTGTCAAAGAAAGAAGAAAAAAGGTTCAGCACTGTAGAAGTTTTGTCTGGCTGCCAAAGCAACTACTTTCACCTATTAAAGGAGTTAAATCCAGGCAGCAAAAGCAAGCTTTTAAGAAAGCATTCCTAAGGACTTTCCTAGTTTGTATGTAGGCTTTCCTGCTAAACTGAAGAAAGGTAAATGAAGAAATACCCTTTTTTTTTCCTTCAAAGTTATGAAGTTAATAATATAAAGCCATCCCCATTAGGTTCTAGATGGAAAATGAGAAAACCTCTGAGAAAATATGTTTGCATACGTCCTTGTATAAAAAAATAATTTTGCCCAATCGTTTTTATCTGTACTTCACTAAAAGGTCCATCATGATCATTAGTCATCAAAGGATTCAAGGCTTTAGGGTTTTAATAGTTTTTTAATAGTGGATTTCTAAACTACACCATGTTTGGTTGGTAACACAAGCAGACAGATTGTCAGTGTTTCACATGACTTTTTTTTTTTTTTTTTTTTGGTCTTTGCAATTCACATGCTTGAATAGCATCCTGCAGGCAAAATGGCTCTGACAGCCCACAAGCAAAAACAGGTACACTGCTTCCTGCCTTTGCCCTGCACTCCATTTCAGCAATCAGAATAGTGATTACTCTGATGGCAAAAGTAGCTTGTACTTAGTGGTTCGACTTGTAACATTATTTTATAAAATAATTGAACACTTATCACCAAAATTAACTTGTGATGTATGCATGCTATGAGAAATACTTAATGCTATATGTCACGACTTAGACAATGAAACAGAACTCAATATATGTATTTAAATTAAAACTTCGCTTTTGAAAAGCTAGGTTTCTTTGGGAATTTTTTCAATTTCTCACTAATGCAGACAAACTCTTAATCAGATACCTAATCTAAGTAACTGCTAAAGCACTAGCATAGTTTGAGGACAGATGCAAATTTTATCAACAGAAGCGTTCCTTTTAAATGTTGAAATTTCCTTTTCTCCTACCATTGTTATGCACTCCGCAACAGGCTTGAACATGAGAGGATACTGGACTGTTTCACCTGGACCCACGAATAACACAGGAGGGCCGTAAAAACTTTGTCCTTCCAGAACAGCTTCAACTTTCCAGTCCTGATGGGACGTATTACTCTGAAATCAAGGTAAAGATGTTAATGAGATTATATAATTAAAGCTCTTAATATTCATTTCTGCTTTTACTCACAGCTACTATCAAATCCAAGAACAGAATTCAAAACAGTTTCTGGGAAAATTACAGAGTGTACTTTAAATATAAATTAAACTAATCCTAAACCCACTAATTCCTGGCAGCCAGAGCTACTAGTAGCAATACTGCCACTATCAATGCAGTCAGCAGACTCTCCAGAACTATATATGCGTGATACAGCCAGTGATCAATAGGATTTTACAAGTATCTGCCTGGAGCTTTTTGATGTTTGCCAAAATTATATATATATATTTTTTCTGCCCAACTTGCAGAAAAACCTATTGTGCTTCTTTGAAGCGCTGATGTGGTTTGTGTGCTTACATATATTGCTGTGCTTGGCCACTAACTGTACTACTTGGTCAGCTGTGCTTACTAATTAAACACTCAAGTCTCCCAAAGGAATATTTACAGTTCTGTGTTCTCAAAAATGGTCTTTCAGGAGAATAATCTTTTTCAGAGAATGGTTGTCTTGAGTGGTCTCAATGCCAATTTAAGAAATACATTTGCCTTGCTTCCAAACATACCACAAAGCTCCTTGAAAAGAAATGAGATTTTTTTTTTTAATATCTGCCTGAGGGTTGCAAAGTAAAACTAAGATATTGGTATTCAGCCTCCCAATATTTGAAGGAACCGGTTAACAAACATCCAGTCTGCAAAAAGGTAACATCCACGTGAAAAAGCCAGAATAAGCTGGCATCCAAGAGCTAATACCTGTCTGGACAAACCACAGGAGACTCCTCTAACCTGTGGAAAGCAGAATTCTTTGAACCAGAATAGCCTTGACCCATGGGAAAACATATATAAATACCAGACATACACAATAAAGTTTGGGGAATACAGATGACACCCTCTTCAACTCTGGCTTCCCTCTTTGAAAGGCTCTCAAGCCCAAATATCTCAAACTCAGAAGCTAAGAAGCGCTACCAGCTCTGGTTATCACATCTAGTAATGTGGCATGAGATATATAATCATATATATGATTGATGCTTAATTCTTAACAGGTAGAAATACTGGTAGTTGAGCACAAATGCTTGCTTGGATGTTTGTTTAGTGTCTCAAAAAAAAAAAAAAAGTTTTTTTCTCAAAACACTCCTAGCACTGTGGTCCCCGCCTCTGTAATAACAGTTACACCTGTGATAGAAAACATGAAAGAAAAAAATCCCTGATATTCACACGCTGAAGACAAAGTGAACGGGTGATAAAGGGATTCAAAAAATTATTTTTCTTGTCATTCTTGGTTTTTTTCTCCCCACAACATTAGGAAGAAAGACTATCCTTTTTAAAGCCAGCTTGGCCAGTTTTAAAACTCGCAGATCATTGACCTTTGCTAAACTATTGTTTTAAAAGGAGGGTGAAAGACAGACTTATAGCACTGGTTGCTCCTTGGCATAGCAAAGGAGAGGGCAGTAAAAATTTGTGTGGTTGTTATATTTTCAGTGATTTCTAGAGTTATTAAGTGTTTCCTTTATACACACTAGTTATGTTTACACCAACATGCAGCATAAATAAATATTTCTCCTTAATCATGAACATACAAGCTTGTAATGAACAACTGACAAAGTCACTTTGAAATTTTCCTGTAATAAATTCTTATAATATAGCATGAATTGGCTCAAAAATAAATATTAAAGACAGACATTACAGCTAAGCATTAAATGTTGGAAATGAAATGTCGTATTCGATAAACCCTAATACAATATCCTTGTACCTTATGCATTTACAAACAATTTTAAAAATATGATCATATCACTTTCTTACAGGAACTCTGCTTAACAGAAAATCATATCCAAAGTCCATTCACATTGATAAGACATAATTAATGTTAATGGACTTAAAAGTGCTTCACAGACTGGAAGGTCATTAAATGTAAGGTCCATGACTTAAATCTCATTCACTGAAGAGGCTGCAACTGAATGATGGAAGAGTCATCTCACAGTCATCTCATGCTTGTGAAAATTACAGAAATTCAGAATGTTCCACCTCTCACAGCAACAAATGGTCACATATTTTATATTCAGAAGGCTTTGAGGCTCATTCTTGTTCTCTAACTCCTTGCATGGTTTCAAGGAAAACATTTGATCATTTTCCTTATTCCCCATGTAAAATCTTTCAGCTTTCACACAGATGTTGCAAGAGGTAGTTAGCTAGAGTCTGCAAACGGCTTTGAGTTCTAAGCAGTAGGTTCAAAGAAACAATAAATCATAGATGAATATTTTCAGAAATAAGCCTAAGAAAATACAGCGTTATGATTCATTTTCTTTACTAATTTTCATTACTATTTTTTACTTACTTTACTTACTAGTTTCTTGTCTACTTTGAGTATTTCACTGAGATCCTAAAATACGGTTCTTCCCCACATAGTAAGTCTGCCATGTTTGGATCTGCCCCTTTCACTTACCAAATCTCAGAATAATGTTTCCATAAAACCACCCACTAGTGGATTTACTCCTTTCTCTTGCAAATTCTTCTTCTTCTTCCCTATCACTTCTGTTTTGTTTGTTTGTTTGTTTGTTTGTTTTTTTAATCTGAAACATATTCTAAAATTTGAGCAATACTTTACTTAGGGAGATGATATGCCAACCTGCACTTCAACTTCACTCCCTGGACATCTTTCTCACCTGTTAAGGGCTTCCAGTACAAAATAGAGATGATAAAATTATATATGAAATACTGCCTATGCTTCTGGTATCATGTCAATTGCAACTTTAAGTTCATTTGAGGGGAAAAAAAATACAATATAGTCTATCTCTCTATTTTACTTGTCAATTTTATATCTCCTTTTTCAAAAAACAATGTTTGTATCTCAGATTGAACAACTCTGTTTCACTCTCACTATGCTAACATGTGATTAAGGTGCTGGATAGCAATTCTCTGCATCAAAATGAACCATGCAAAGTAATAATCTAAAAACTGCCAGGAATTACTTTTCCAACAAGCTTCATATTATGTCCAGTATGGATTTGGGGTAATAATTTTGAAGTCAGCATTTTCACGTTTTTGTGGATTTTACAATTGTAAATCTTCACAGCACTAATTAAGAGTCTAGTTTTTAAAGATCCTGAAACTTGGTTTAGTTTCTAATAGTAAAGTGAACTCACTATTGGAATGTCCTGAATCACTGCCTGGTAAGCTGGAGATAGAAATTCAAGCTCAGCTTCGGCACGGTCTGTATTCACTATACATTCAACCATATAGACACGAACATCACAGGAGGACTTCAGAAGAATCTGACAGCAGTAGCGACCAGCACATTTAGGAATAAATTTTATAGGAAGTTCAACTGCAGGACTTTTTTCTAGAAAAGAAAAACAAAGGCAATGATGCAAAGCTCTTCAGAATTGTTGAATTTATATGCACAAGAGCTCCTATAAATTGTAATGTAAAACAAACACCAGAATTTTAGGAGTATTATCATATAAGTGTAGGCAAATTTTATTGTCTTTAAAAAAAGATAGTACATGTAGACTTCCAAAGAGCATTCTGTATTGTTTTTAAGTGTAGAGAGAGCAGCATTTTAAAGAATTGATTAACCCTGTACAAGTAAAGAGGTTTGTTTTTATATGAAGTTTTGCAAATATCAAAAACATACAGTTGTTGCTATTGAATACTTTTGTCAAATGTTACTGTGATAGATATCTGAAACAATACAGTGTACTTCCCAATAGCAGCCCCAAGAACAACTGAAATTCTGTTTAGTAGTTTTCACGAGAGCTACTCTTTAGCTTTTTCAGATGGCAAATATTTCATTCAAAGCCCAAGTTTACTAAAATACTGGAGCTATCCAAAAATCATGAAAAGTTTCATTTGCCCAATCCACAGCACATAGGGAAAACTCCATAGAGTAATCTCTAGAATAAGGAAGAAGCAATACAACTGTTGATCCCATTTGAACATGGCCAGTTCTAACAAGTCCGACACAATTTTTTCCTTTGCTCTTGCTTACAAAAGAATCACATGTTTCCACAGTATCATCAGCCTTCCCCCTAACCCTTGTGGGAAACTCTATGGAAAGAAGACATGAGAGAAATTTCAATGACTGCTCCTGAAGTGACTTATCTAGTCCAACTAACTCACGAGTCTTTAAGGAACGTGAAGGAAGACCTCAACTGTAACAACTTTGCTGTAGCTCTGTGTTTATTACCTAAAACCATTTCTAGGACTGGAAACCAATGAAAAAAACCCTTGGTTGGCAAAGATAATGAGTAGAGTCAAAAACAACAAAATTACATAACAGAACCTCACAGATAAAACTTGGAACAAACCACCACTCCCTGAGGTGTGGATTTCCCTTCTTCCTTTATTGTGGTTTATTTTGTGATGAAACCACAACTGAACTCAAACATTTTTGATATCTTTCGTGAAAACTACTGAATTTTGAAGGTTTGATCGATGTTTCATTCATTTGCATAGTTCTCATTTCTCTGCAAATGAGTAGCAAGCTAAAGTTTTCTTGTTGATATTTGTCATCTATATTCTGATTATTTCACAAAAACAGCTCAAGTACCAGAGATAAATGACACAGAATGATATTATTAATCTTACAACACTACTAGATTATCAAAAAGATTATAAACTGCACCTCAGGTTTAACCCTCTCTGAAATAAATTAGTTTGTTCTTTCTTAAAGACAACATTAATGGATTGGTAATTTTTGAATTATTACCTTTTTGAGTTTTGTCACCAAGTTATTATCCACACTGGCTACACTCCATACAAGTAACCTGAGTTTGTCAGTTACGCCAGGCATGAAACCATCTTTTCTATTCCCCGGTCCATGAGTGCAGCACCTAATTTTATCTGTCTTTATCTTTATCTAAGAAAAACAAGTTTTCTGACTTGTTTACAAGTGTGTTGAAGCTCCAAAATATTTCTGTAGTAATAGGATGAGTTTTAGGGTCTTGCACTCAATGGAAGTCACAATTATTAATGCAGAACCTTTGCAAATTTGTATTTGTACTTTAATTTGTGGCATTTTAAAAATGAATTAATGGTAGCATTGTTCGAATGATTGTTTTATTTTTATGAGGATGCAAAACTCTTGGAATTTTAAAAGTTAATATATCTTAAAGATATTAACAGGAGAAAACATGAAAAGAGGAGAAAATCCTGTTTCCTCTGCCTTACCCCTGACATATCTGTTTATATTATAGATATGGTTATTAGATATGTCACAGGTAAAGCATATCTATGCTAAATAGATACAGATACGTTTATTCCATACAATAGAAAAATAGAAGAGGAATATGACCGAGGCCTATACAATTAAGAGTAGTATGGAGACCATGGATAATGATCATTTATTCTGCCTACTGTGCTAGTAAGAGCAAAGCTTAAAGCAAACAAAAGTGTTTGCATAGACCAGTACTACTCTGGCACTGGTATGGTATCCTTGGCATGTTATTGAGAAGAAGTTAATTGAGGATTACATAATATATATTAAGAAATCATACATTTTGCTAAAGATTGTGTAGTCAACTAAATGCACTTTGATCAGACCCATTATGGTTGTTCATATATTAGGTTGTGACTTCATTTTAAACCTATGCTCAGCACCAAGAAATCAACATTATCCTTCACGAAATTGGATCCATTTTTGTAGTGCATGCTTTAAATCTGAATTGTCTTCTTTAGAAAATCAAAAACATTTGATATTTATAACATTTAGTTTGCATTTACTTTTATGAAAATGTATTCCTTTTACATAAAGAATACATCGAAGAACAGGTCAGCTGAATAATTGAAAATTTATGAACAATTATGATTAACATAAAGGAAAGCAAGTGACTTGACCCGGTTTATTTAATACAATAATCCAATTGTACATGGTTTCTAAAGTAAGACGGGATCCTGAAATCAAAATGACTGCAGAAACCACTTCCCTGTGAACTGCATATAAAAGCATATTAAAGTTTTCTGGAAAATGCTTTTTCATGCTCATTTTAAATGCTAAAATGTAATTAGGCTTAAGGGATTCTCAACTTAGTATGTTTTCTTCCTTCAGAGTCTCATACAATATTAAGCAAAGATTAGAGTAGGAATTCAAAGATTCACTGAAAATAATGCATGTGGCCACAGCCGGCCTAGCAGGGCCAAGTACTGAGACAAATTGGTAAGAGAGCAGCTGCAGTCAGGTTACTTCCATGTAAAAGGAAGCAGAGTCTGCACCCATGGAAAGACAAGAGACTGAAGTGTTCTTCTGACAGTGAAAAGTCAACATAGAAAGAACAACACAGATGCTTGGTACAGTTTCTCTAGCTAGGATATTTGTTGTTTGATGGGAATGGATTTCACACAAAATAGGCAAACAATCCTTGAGAGCATGTGCTAGAGCCTTGGATTCCCCTTCACCAACAAGTGTCCTAATCACTTAGCTACAGAGCCATGATTACCTTTAGCCAGGTATCAATTAGTGATACCACGTTCAATTCAATGGGTAAAGCAAAAAACTCTCACAATGACAGTCTGCTGTCTGGCGACTGGGAAATTCTTTGGGCACAGAATAAATGTTATTTTGAACATTCTTGTGCTCAGAAAGGGAATGAAATTTCACCACCCACACCTTGGTCAAATGTCCTACTTACTAAGGGTTTTGAAAGCTGTTATTTGCCACACTTTAAGAAAAGTTTAATTTTGTAGTTTTTTGTTATATAAATAGCTATTATATAAAATATTTACTTGATTCTGCATCTCAGCTGAGCAGGGTTGGCAGACACACATCAGAACAGTGGTATGTGCAAAACAGAAACTTTCAGTGGGTAATATCACCTCAGATTCTTAGGAAACTGTGCACAGCTGTTAGTCATGTTCACCCAACATCCAGTTAGTGTGAAAGACAGTGATCACCTGCTGGAGTTGCTAAAGACCATGCCCTCCTCTCTGAGTTTTCCACTCATTATTTTAGGTCAGCCCCGCCTGAAATAGAAACCCTCAATAGCTGTATCAGCCAACAAACACTACCTTTTCAAAGAAATTTCTCATTGGCATTAAAATTGAAGAGAAAGGAGATACTTGAGTTTAGTAATGACACTTTATGGATTGCTCTTTAACCTTATTAACAAATTGCAGGAGGAGGGTGAGCAAAAATGGAAGTTCCGCGCTTCCACATAATGATCTTTTGGCATTATTTTTAAAATAGGAAACTACCTGTCCTCATCAGTCAGGTCTTGCACATTCTAGTAGGTGCTACCTAGCAATGACAGCAACATCCGTTCAGCAGCTTAAGGCTGCTCATAAATTTCACAGAGGTCTTTATTCAGCCTTAGACATTGTGCAAGTGTCACAGATACCTGGTTGCATCAATGTAAAGAATGAGTTTACAAGTTCAGATGCCTGTAAGGTTAAGTAAAGCATACTGAAGAGTCCAGATCTGTGAAAAAGTTTCAAAACTTTGATGTATTTCTTTATAAAAAAATGTTTTTACAAATCTAAGCTAACAGCTAAATATACTTGATCCATCAGAAAAGGAAGATGCTGCTCAGGAAAAACAAAAAACAGGAACAAAAAGAAGGATGAAAGCATTTTTTTTTCCTTAATGGATTTTAAAATGCAAATAGCAGTGATTTTTTTTCTAAGTCTTATCACAAATCTCAGCAGCCACATATGTGTGCCAAATTCAGAAATTTCTTAAGAGTTTGCATTACTACAGAACTACTGTATTGCACTACTACAGAACATAGATTTTCCTCCAAAGGGTTTTTTTTTTGTTTCCTTCTTTTTGTTTCTTTTTATTTTTATTTTTTAATGAACGTATCTCCTTGGTATTTCCTAAGAATATCTGCAAAAGCCTCACAAGCAAGCAGGCTACACACTCTTACTATGCTAATGGGCAACTGGATAGCCTTCAAATAAGAGTAAGTTTGTTTATTATAATTTAAGAAAGGTAGTATATCTATTGGGCTTTCTTAAGTTATCCAATGCATACCCCTACCAAAAAAGATTAGCTGAACGATATAGTTAAAAACCAAGAAAAAGAGAGTTACAATTCAAAGACACTGACTAAAGAACAAAGACTAAAGGACAAATGCAATCTCTCTCAAAAACATATGCCCAAAATTTTTACAAATTTCACAAAAATGGGATGCTGCATGACTGGGAAAAGAATGGCTAAGGCAGGATGATGAAAAGTAAGCAACAGAAGGCAAAAGAAGGAAGATTAACCAGGATTTCTTACGATCAAAGGGCAGACCTTAGAATACACAGTGCACTGAATGTCTAAGTAATGTACATGGAGTGACTTGAAGAACCATTTTTTTATACCATTTTTATACCACTTACTATAAAATAGTAAGTCAGTGC